ATATTTGTACATTAAGTTTTAAGGAGTTGAATGAAACCCACTTTCATATATATATCTTTATCATATGAGTCTTACTAGTATGACAGGATCGTGTAGATTGCTATGCTACAGGACTCCGGTAGAAGTCGAGTGAATGCCTGTCACTCGCGAGAGATAGAAAATATATTACTATATAATTATCACTTGGAATATATAAATGGTGGAAAGTAAAAATAGTGACCGGGCAGGGATATGGTTTGGGTATTGGTAGGTGTAAGAGGTTGTGTCCTGCGGCCAACGGGGCATGGCTTGGTTACATTGTTTTCCATGTCTGTGTCGGTTAAGGACCGACCGTTGCATTGGACTCTAGGCAAGTCACAGACTTATTATCCCGAGCACATACTTGGGTATGGGCGCAGGGAAGACTTGTTACTCTCTTGTCATGGGTTTCAGCTCTTTCCGGACCGACTGTCAGGGTGGTTTTTGGTTAGGAGGTCCTTGCATTGCACTGAGTCCGGGACTCAGGGGCGGGGGCTTGGAGTCCAAGTTTAGATGGGGACCTAGACCCTGTGACAGGAGAGTAGTGGGTTGGTCCTACTTGTGCCTGGGGTACAAGTGGGGCGTGTGTTTTTGGTGTACCCAGCTGGGGGCATTGATTCGTAAATCGCCGGGCAATCCGGTACGGCTTGTCTACGGCCCCGCACCGTAGTAAGAACTAGAAGATGAAAGATGGTAAAAAGAAAACTGATTGCTTATCACCTGCTTGAAAGTAGCACATGTGATTACATAGAATGGTTAGTTAATGAACTAATGCAACTGCTAATAAAAATCAAATATAAAGACGCACGCTTAGTAATGCTTCCTGCAGATGCAATAAACCCACAAACCAGATAGCCTTGCATATCCTTGGAGTCTTTTCTTTCCTCCTGTCGGGTAAGTCTTGTTGAGTACAATTGAGTACTCAGTGTTTTATTTCCCCCTCTTGCAGGTGACAGGCGGATGCTTGAGCTGACTCTTGTGTGTGGATTCCTCCTAGTGGGTTCAGAGAGAATTCCCTTTACACTACGATCATAGTCTCTATTTATAACCCTTACTAAATGTTTTATTAAATGAAAGTTTTATAATCTGTTGTCATAGTTTATATATCAATATTTCATCACGTCATAAATAGATGTTTAATTCCGTTGTAACTCTGTTCACATGTTTATATTCCGTTGTTCAATTATATTGTTCATAACTCTGATAATATGATTACATTCCGCTATTATAACAATAAATATTATACTCTGATGTTGTATTAAAAGTGACGTAAGAAATGATTTAAAATGTTGTAAGCTTTATTTTCTCATTTGTGATCCTGATGAAAAATGTGGATTTTCGGGTTCTCCCATGTGGTGTGCCCGACGAAACTGCGTAATTTAGTGTTGCCCCTTGGATACTTAGTGTCTAATGTAAGACAAGTACTCCTGAGAGGCATTAGATTAGGCGGTTCTGCCATAGATTGATGACTGGGTGATCTTCTTGATGTAGCTTATTGTGGGAAGGCTTATATTGATGTTCTGGATTTAAAACCCGTCCATTCAGATTGGAGAAGGGTTATTCACTAATGAAGATTTGAAATTTTGTGACTCAAGAGAGCATAATCGAGTCCCTTTGACTTATCGGTGCTCCAACGTGGATCAAAAGATGGTGAACAGTTACCGGCTACCATAGAAAAAAATCTGATTATCTATTTGTCTTCTTTCTTTTCATGCACTTACATTCTTTGCCTTTTTTTCTTTCCTTGCACTGACGTTGGTGTTTGGCATGGCTCCCTCTGAGGGGCTCCTGTTTTCACTAAAAATGGCTACTCCGAAAAAACGTTTGGCAGGAGCCAGGGCTAGGCCAGGGAGCTTGCCAAACAGGCCCTTAGTTTTGTATTTCTGCTCTTGATTGTATGCAAGATCTCTTGTGTGTCAACCAGGATCTTCCCTCATAGAGTACTTAGTCGTAGTTTTCGTATCGCTATCTAAGGATTTCTTTTTGTGTGATGATGTGCTTCCACCCTGTTACAATTACCGAGGTCAGCCGACCCAATAAAACATGTAATTTCTTAGGCCAGTCTCAATGAGTTTTATAAGAGTTTTATGCAAATTAAATAAACTGACATGACAAAATATAAATGGAGAGGTGATAAAAGTTTCACGGAATGAAACTTGTTTACACTGTTTTCAACACCTGAGAGTCTTGGAAACAGGGCCATAAAACTCCCACTGAGACTAGCCTTAATAAAATCTTTGTATCTCTAGCTTAACTCTATCGTTTTAGTCAGTGGCGTAGCCAAGATTTGTAGCTATGGTGGTCTATTGTCTAATTTTTTAACCGCTATAAACTTAACATGTTGGTAGACGAAGTACATGAATTGCAAAACACAACTAAAGAAAAAGAGGACATACAGAGTTCATATTACATGCCCGTAATAGTTGAAGAACAATACGACACTTCATGTCAGGCCTGCGCCTTCCAATAGCCATGAAAGTGTGGATGATCTCCATCACTCAATTATAAAAAGATATCCCGCTCAATAAAAGTCACTAGACAATCATCTAGGAGGCTATCACCCATCTTAATTATTTTTTGAAGAGAGGCAATATCACCGCTCCTCTTCATATTTCAGTAAGTCTGCAAGAGAATAAAATATTGTTTTAATTTACCATTCCAATAATCAATTGATAGAAAAAAATCCCATCCTACAATTAAAATTAAATAGTCCAATGTTACCATGCACTCCAATAATGTAATCTAATGACACAGAATAAAATAAGGTTTTCTGCACGAGTTAGGGCGTTCTGCGTTCAGAGAGATTGGGAGGAAAAAAAACAAACCTGACTAAACGAGCAGGCTAATTGGAGACCGGAGACGTACCTGCATTCCCATCTGCTGTCGCTCACAGCCTCTGGTCTCGAGATGTCAACGGGGAATTCCCCGTCGGGGGTTACCGCCCCATCCCCGTCCCCGCGAGGGCAAATTTCACCCGTCCCCGTCCCCGTGATGGCTCATGTGGAGCACTTCTTCCCCATCCCTGTCCCCGCTCGGGAATTTAATCCCCGTGGGGATCCCCATCCCCGTAACATGTGAAGCACGCTCACCGCCGCCGTCGTGGACGCCATCGACGAGCACGTGGCCAGGAGCAGCCACCTCGCCCACGGATCTGACCACCACGGCCGCAGACTCGCAGATCTGCCTAGAGAAGCCATTGGAGGTGCTCCTCGGCTAGATCCACCGCCGCTGGAGGTGCTCCTTGGCCAGATCCGTCGCAGAGGTCGAGGGAGAGGGAGGATCCGCCGCCGGGGTACGCCGCCGCCCGCACCTGCGAGAGGGAGGCCGTGCCACCCTGCGCGATGCCGCCATGGGTGGGCCACCACACCGAGGATCCGCCGGCCCGGCCTGGATCCGCGTTGCCCCGCCATAGATCCACCCGGCCTCGGCATGGATCTGCGCCGCCGAGCGCTGTGAAGGTCACTCCGCCATGATCCGCGCCGGAGGGAGGAGAGAGGACGCCGCTACGGAGGGAGGACGGCGCCGTGAAGGAGGGAGGAGAGGGCGCGCAAGAGGGAGGGAGTCGGGAGGAGAGCGCTGGAGGGAGGGAGTGACCGGGGAGGCGGATGGGGAGTGACCGGGAGGAGAGGACGCGTTAGGGTTGGATTGCGCGTTATATACCTCCGTGACTTATTGGGCCTTTACATGGGCCGGCTTCACTGCTTCGCGGGGCGGGTTGGCGGGGATCAAGGTCGAGGACCAGGGAACCATCCCCGTCCCCGCCATCCCCAACGGGGACGCATTCCTACCAAATCCTTCCCCGTGGGGATTAATTCTCCTCCATCCTCGTCCTCTAATGAAAGAATTCACCACGGGGAATCGGGGATCGGGTCCCCGTTGACATCTTTACTCTGGTCGCTCGTCGTCCGGCGCCTGCCGCCGGCCCGCCACCGCCGCACGTCCGCACAACACAGCAAGGGATACGAAGGGGTGTAGACCGACCGTATTCGCGAAGGGTCGCACGACGCGTATTGGCGAAAGGCCGTAGACGCTCCGATGTATTCGATGTTTGGCTGCTCAGGATCCAAACTTCGTGTATCTATGGGCTTTGTATGGGCCGAGCACATGGTAGTTCGTGGACCACCTGGACCACCCTGTATCTCCGCCCCTGGTTTTAGTGGAGCTGACTAGCCTTAATAAAATCTTTGCATCTCTAGCTTAACTCTATCGTTTTAGTGGAGCTGATTCCGACGCCATTTCTATAGCTTCGCCCATGAAGTTATTTATTGTGTAAAACTCTCAAACTCTTAGTAGACTTGCTTAGCATATTTCTTTAGATAGTTTCAACTTGCTTATTTTTCTTTCTTTTTCTTTGACGTAAAAACTCGCTTATTTTTCTAAGGATATTTTTAACTTCATTAGCCATAAGGCCTCTACATTAGTATAATCTTTTTTGTTCCTAAAACTTTACCATGCATACGTTGAGTACAAATTTATGTAGACTAAGGTCGTTGCTTTAAATTAAACATTTTTAGCCCAACTCAACCCTTTTAGACCATTCGGTTCTTTCAACCAGTGTCCAAATTTCGAGGCCATACTTGTACTACCAGCTGATGCAATTGATAGATTTCCCAAATTCAGGAAGGCTTGATACAGACCCTTTATAACACTTCGTTTCTTTTGTACCCTACAAGCTCAAATATACATTGCCAGATACTTGGACGCCCAGCTTGACAAAAAGAATAAAGGGCAACGAAGAAAGAAGAATGAAAACAGGACCGTCACCACGTCAGGAAACATAAACCCTGACACGGATTTCGCAATTTGTACCATATATGGGGAACACAGCCCTTGGCAGCCCAAATGGCTTAAAAAGAACTGAGAAAATAAAGAACTGGGCTAAGTAATGTACTAAGGCAGCGGACTAAACTGACCAAATTTGGATTCTCCAAATCTAGGTTCCTAGCAACTTGTCGCTATAATTGTCCATCAAGCCATGATGGTTAGGTTTTGCTCTTGAACTTGCGCTGTGCTTTCAGGTCAACTACAACGACAGTGATGTTGTCTTTGCTCCCCTTCTGAAGAGCAAGCTTTGACAAACATTCAGCAGCCGCTTGAGCAGCTGGGTCTGCGGAATCACCAACCCGTGGGGCTGATGATGAGCTTGTGCCATTCTTTTTGTGCCACAGAAGTATCCGCTTGCGAGCAACTTCGCATACCTCTTCATTTGACATTACGTCCCAGAGGCCGTCACTGGCAAGAATAAGACACTCATCATCCTTAGCCCGTGGAACTATTGTTACCTCTGGGACTGGAATTATCCATGGCTTCAGATATCTGTCACCTGCAACAAATAGAAGCCATTAAAGTTCTGATTGTTAGAGAATGACCAACCAATTCTATTCCAGGCCCAAAGGGGCAAGTATACATGTGTGTACATATGCAAAGAACCGACGAGTCAGCAACTATGCCCGAACAGTCTTGAACTCCGGACGAAGCCGAGAGAGGAACTCGTGAAGGTGAAGTGTGTCTCTCTGGTCCCGGTGGCGGTCACAGCACCGACAAGTGCCACCACCGCAGCACTCAGCACCCAAACCGTCTAGACGATGCCAGACGTCTGTCATCTGACTGTGGAAGTCCTCAACTGTAGAATCAAGCTGACGAAGTGACTGAGCCTCCTCAATAACAGCAAGGTACATCGCTTCGTTACGGATCTCGTAACTGCGATGAAGGTGGTCCCACATAAGGTGCGAAGTGGCAAGACCTTTGAGGGACCGGGCAAGATCAACCTCCATGCTTGCAAGTAAAATGGCTTTAGCAGATTTTTCCTCGCGCAGCCAAGTCTCAAAACACCGAGATCAGATTGGTAGCTCTCCATCTCAAGCTCAAACGCCTCAAGTAAAGCAGTCTTGGCATCATCAGCAGCATCTGGCGGGTACGTGGGCGGCGTGGGAAGAACAGGACGCGAAGGACAGACCCGCTCCCCAGTGTGGTAGCCCCACAGCAGCTGTCCGTCCATATGGACCTCCATATGGAAAACAAAATCTCCCCAATTGGTGCCATTGAAAATGACAGGGCACCGAGGGACAGGAACAACACCAGGACGACCGGGAGACGTCATGGAGACAGCAAGCCTATGTTTTTTTCCTTTTTTTTTGGACAAGAAGGCAGAGAGGATGGCAGACAGAGGCGCTCGCAACTTACACGAGGCGGACAGAGGCGTGTGAGGCCATGCGGTGTGCGCGCCGCAGGTGGAGGGAGACCGCGCGATGGGCGAAGGGGCCTGGCGCGGGCGGGCAGCGGCAGGTGCACGGGAGGCGGGCGGCAGCCGGCGCGCGGGCAGACGACGCGCGGGAGGCGGGCGGCAGCCGGCGCGCGGGCTGGTGGTAGCCGGAGGGCGGACGAGCGGTGGCCGTGCGGAGGCCAGCGCGCGAGGTCGCGGGCAGTCGGCGCACGGGCCGCGCGGGCGTACGGCCGCACGGGAGGGCGGCGGGGTCGGTCTTGAGGTGAGGAAGAAACCCTAGCTCTTTGATACCACGTTAGAGAATGACCAACCAATTCTATTCCAGGCCCAAAGGGGCAAGTATACATGTGTGTACATATGCAAAGAACCCCTCCAAGTAAAGGGAAAATACAAAGTGCATCTATACATCTAACACTGATCATATTATACATGCTTTTGTATTTTGGAATCTTGTTTCAAGTAAAACAACTAAAACTAGCAAGCTTAGACTACTCGGTTCTTCTACAAGCAGATATGAAAAAAAAGCATGACATTTCCTGAGTATGGTCCATTTAGGGAGTTAGGGTAACATGATAAAAAAAGGGCGTACCCAGTGCAGAGAGCTCACACTCTGTGCGGGGTCTAGGGAAGAGTGTCAATGGCAAGCCTTACCCTCGCCTGTGCAATGCGAGGAGACTGTGACTCGAACCCGGGACCTTCCGGTCACAGGCGGTAAGACTGTACCGCTTGCACCAGGCCCGCCCTTCAATGGGAAAACATTCTCTCTGGTCCTTGCTAATGCACAGAAGAGACCTAGCAACATACATGCACACTTTCATGATAGGTCAAAGTTCATAGCAGAGGAGACAAATTCCGAAATTAGTGTATAAAGGTATATGTTCTACACTACAGTGAAAGATCTATGCATGTCTTGTGGTAGTATATATAGAACTAAAACAGCAAACTCCATTAGTTTGTATGCATCATATACATACAAACATCAAAATGTTGTAGAAATTACAATAGAAAACATTGTATTTCAGAGTCAAGAACTCAAAAGAGAGCATGCAGCAGAACATCAAAGGTGTAGGATGCCCAGAAATGAGTGTACTCGAGGATGTTCTGAGTCAACCCAATAACATCTCCAAACTCCATTAGTTTGAATGCATCATGCTATCGGCATGATGGCTCCAAAAGGCCTCTGTAACTTTCAACCATGTATGGCGACAAATATGAGACAGACAGCCCTTGCAGAAGGATATAAAACATCCTAGGATTCCATCACCCCCACGGTGTACAAATTTCTCCCCAGCTGCTCTCTAATGCACAACCGTTAAAAAAGAGACATCGTTAGGGAAAAGAATGGGCCAGGGGGGGGGGGGGGATTTTTTTCTAGGCTGCCTAGTTTCCCCAGGTTTACAAAGCAACACGGTAGAGCATAGACATCAGAACAAGAGTATAGAGAAGATCTATCACCTATCTATGCCGCCAGTGAGCATACAAAGGGCCATGACCAAACCATACAACTACCAGGCCTCTGTGACTTTCAACCATGTACGGAACCAAGTATCACAAGCTATTGGTCTTATGATGATTCAGGATATGCAGTTTTTCTTCTTTTCTTCCCTCTACGATAGTGCTCCCATAATTCCACAAGAAAGATGGCTTTTAACTGTCGTAGGACCCTGACCTTTCTTGGCCAATAGAAACTTGAGACAGAATAAAATGAGTGGAGTCAGAATCAGAATGTTCAGGGTATAAAGGAACATTGCAGATACGATTCTTTGGATGCTCTATTTGAACAGGATCTGAATTCAGTGCCATGTACTACATCATAACAAAGGGCACAATCCATTTTCATGGCTTCCTTGAATTTAACAGTTCTAGGAAAGACGTGTAGTGCTTGGAAATTTGAACTTACAAAAAATATTACAACACGGGTGAGCCTGGGAAGTATGAAAATCGTGTAGTATACAATTTGGAGTAATGCTAATGTGAACAAAATGGTTCCTTGCCACTTAATAAACACAGATAGTTTCTCACTTGAAAGCCAGAAATACTTTGTCAACAAGTAACAAAAATTAAATCAGCTCTTATATAACATTCCTATTTTGCTTGGTAACTTTTCATTTATCATGCTAGGCTGCTAATTTGCCCCAACTACTTTTTTTTGTAAAAACTTGACAGCAGAGTAGCATCAGCAATCAGTCAACACAGATGACATTTAGGTAATGGTCCTTCAGTGCATAGTTTTAAAGGCGTCCAGGCGTACCCAGCTCGCCTTGTCCCCTAGGCGCTGCCTAGGCGTCCAGGCGTACCAAGCACTCGCCTGGACGCCTAACCGCCTTTAAAACTATGCTTCAGTGCATACTATTGTGCTGTTGTGGACCAGAAACTACATAAGAATTGTAGAATCACCAGGTAAAAAAATTTGATAATAACTAATACATTCCCTGTCACCAAAACTAGAGGTTGCAGAGATGTTGATGAACTAGTAAACCAAATAGTAATTCATCAACAGAAATTTATTCAAATTTCCTTATCCAAATCATTGCATGAACAGTAAACCAAGGTGACTTATTATATAGTAAAGCAGTGTGCTGGAGAGTAATAAAAGGCATACCAATTGATCGCGACATTGCAAGAACACCGAAAACTCGATAACCATTCCATTGTATGACCTTGCCACCTTCTGCCTCAATCCTTGCATACTCATCCTCCCTGTTAGGCTGAAGAACGAAATAGAGCAAAGCAGTCAACATCTGATTAACATGTGAACTGAAAGGTCATGCAAATAAACAGCGTTCCAGGAGAGCTTACTTTATGATCCACCGACAGAGGCACGGGCTGCTTGCCACGGCAGAGCACTGCCCGTGAATCTCCACAATTGGAGATAATGATATGCGAGGAGCAGATGACAGAGACGACCGCCGTTGAACCCACGGTCTCAGGTGCCACAGGTTCTGGCGTGAGCGCCACAGCAGCATTACTTGTGCCTGCTTCGCCACCACCTCCCCTGATCGCCTTGCCCCCAACCTCGTCATCCACTCTAGCGAAAGAATCCACAAAGGCCTTTTCCCACTGTTTCTTGAACTCCATGTCTCCCAAGTTAGCAGCACACACGGTCTCCTCTATCCTGCTCAGCTGCTCCAGTAGGGCCACATGGAGGCGTTCCCGACAGTAATGTGCTACCTACAACGAATTGAGCAAATGCCACTGGGTGTGTTTAGTTCCCCATTTCACCCAAAATTTTTTGGATTTTGACCCATCATTTTGCAGAATGGAACTAAACACCATGCAAAATTTTTGGCAAAAAGGTATCCATTCTCCATTTTGGATTTTGGCCTCAAGAGGCCAAAAAAAGCCAAAAAGCCCTCACCCACCCCATGAAAAATTTGGCATTTTGGATGGAACTAAACACACCCATGAAAATTTTGGCATTTTGCATTTCATCATTCCAAAGTAGTTGGCATTTTGCATTTTGCATTCCATGGGGAACTAAACACAGCCTCAATGTAGCTGTACCAATAACTGTCTGTTCGATTTAGGAGTACATACAGACTTGAGTAGAGTACAAAAAATGAGCCTGCTAATAGGAAGTCATTAATGAACGGTAAGCATACCTGTGCACCACCGTGTCCGTCATAGACACCAAAGAAATGTGCAGGTAAGCGGAACGTCATGGGATCGAGACCATCGACCACCGCATTGCCGGTGAGCATCCAGAGTGGCACGTCAAAGAATCGCGGCTCTATAGCAACGGCATCCTCCATCTCCGGCCGTCGGCCGCATATGGAGGTGTAGCCCCACAGCGGCACGCAGTCCACGGCGAAGACACTCCTCCCACCAGCCGCGACCCTGGCCTCCGCCTCGACCGTGGCCGCGGACGCGGCCGAGTCCTCGAACACCATGGGGCCACCCTCCGCCGTGCCGAAGAAACCCAGCCCAACCCCCTCGAAGTCAGCACTGGCCACGCTGCTGCAGTCGCTGGCCAACGAGCACGGGCTCCCGGCCACAGACGCGTCTCCCCCTTCCCCTTCCGGCGCCAGCGCGTCGTCGTCCACCGCCGACGCCGTCCTGACCGGGGGCACGGAGATCCCCTCCATGGCTCCCACGACCGCCGCGGCGATCGGGTCCGCGGCCGCCGCGGCGATCAGCGTAAACGCCGGCGTCGGCGTCGCGGCGAGCGGCGCCACGACCGCTACAACGTCCTCCATCCCTCCTCCAGCCTCCCCCTCCGCCGCCTCCGCAGCCGCCGCCACCTCCTCCAGGATCACCTTCCCAGGCCGGCTCAAGTCCTTCGCAGAAGCACCGCATCGCTCCCGCTCCCGCCCCCGCTACCCCTCTGCCGCCTCCTCCTCATGTGCCTCCAGATCTGCTCCTATCCGTCCCCAAATCCGGCGCCCGAACCTCGCGCGGGTCCGGAGGCAGGCACACGCGGATCCGAGTCCAAGCCCACCCCCGAATCGCCAAAGCACACGACGGGCAGGCAACGCCCTCCTCGTGAGTCGTGAGGAACTTGGGAAGGAGAGTAGCGGCACCACCACCAAAGACCAAAGTGCGTCGTGCAGTAGCGAGCAAGGCAGGTTGCGAGCAGCGCCCTCCTCGACCTGGGGAGCGGTGAAGCGGAGGCAGATTTGGCAGCCGTTGGGTAACGTTGAGCTTGCGGCTCGGGAGCCGGGAGTTACCGGCAGAAAGGAGGGAGAGGCGACGGGCGAGGGAGGGAGGCAGGGGAGGGAGGGCAGGAAAGCTACGTGCACTCGCCGTGTGCCCGCGCGCGTGTGGGGGACAGGTGTCGAGGCCGCGCCAGTGGGGACGGGCGGGGGCCGCGGGGATCGGGTGCGCCGCCGCGAGCACCCGGCAGCGGCGGGGTTTTCGGGGGCGCGTGTCGATGATTGGGGAGGGGCGCGTGGAGGCGGGGGCAGGACAGCGAACTGAGGAAGAAGCTACTACAGGTAGGCCTGTGAGGTGGAGGGATGGGAGTGATGGGAGGCGTACTGCCGCAGTGCCGCTGCCCATGGTGCGATTGCCATTTGTCGTCTCGTCTCATGGTCATGCTGTTACTACTGTACAACTGCGGTTGTTCCTAGCATATCAGAGAAAGAAATTAATAATATCACGTTTAATTAATCTTATAAAAATAGTATCAATGTTTTTATTTATATAATAGGTTTATAATAAAAATATCATATGTAATTAATTTAATGATGCCTATTATGTCATAAATATTAGTGCACTCTTTTAATAGATTGCTGGCAAGTTTTAGATAGATTAGTATAACTGCCAAGTGACCATATTACCCTTGATTAATTTGAGTTCCACCATTAAGTTGCACACTAATTGATGTTTAGGTTACGCGCGCTGGTCACATAATTTACTATTCATCTGGCAGGTTGCAGCAAAATTGGTCAACTGAAGGGGATGCAACAGTAAATATGATGGGAATACGAGGAGTATTAAATGAGCCGGTGGACCGTCATCCTCTAAGAATCGACTTGTTCGTGAATAAATTTTTACTCTAGAAATTGATTCTTTCATAGATAGACAGGAGTATTTAGTTAAACTTAAGACTTGTTGACACCTTCAAATATATAATCATTTAGGACTTCGTAACTATAAAAACCTAAACATAGGTTTAATATTAGTACGAGTACTGTACACTAGTGACAGAGCGGTACGGTACACAATTTACACCTGAAAATCTTGTGGCCAAAACATGATCCAGCTGTTTTGCGTGAGCGACGCAAACATCTTTCCAGAAAAAGGGAGCAAGATAGCGAGCGAAAAAGAAAACGCTGAAAATGACACACCAGCTGCCACGTGTTTCTGCCCAAAGCCAAACCTTGCAACGTGACGAGCGGGCAACAGTGCGACACGAGCCCGTGCCCCGGCCAGCCCCCTCGCCCCTCTGCGCTGCGCTGCGCCTGCGGTACAAGTACTGATCACTCTGCAGGAGTAACCACGACGGCCCAACAGCAAACACCGCATCGCGCGCCCATGTGCGGCCCTCGGCCCCTCGCCCTCCGTGAAAAGGAATGGAATGGAGCGGCCAAGTTTCGCAAACGCCCCCTCCATTTCTGTCTCCCTCCGTCTCTGGGTCAGTGGATCACACTGGAGGTCTGGAGCACCGTCACTGGCAGTTGGGCACCGGGACCCACACGTCAGTGAGCCTACGGGAGGAACCTCGAACCCGGCGTCTTTTTTTGTTCTCGGAGTGGGCCCAGCTTCACAGCACGGCCGTCAATCGGAGTCGGAGCACGTGGTTTTCTCTGCTCCGTCCGTCAAAGCTCACAAGCTCGGCTCGGCAGATGGTAGGTCCCTCGTGTCCGGCTGGCTTTAAATAGCGTTGGCCCGCGACGCGACGGGACGAGCCGAGGCGTGCGCGCCCAACACGTGGAGGGAGAATCAGCACGTCACTACCGTAGGGACGGTCGCAGAAGAACAAAACGCTACGCGCACAAGGGACGGCTTCTTCTTGCCACGCAGTGGCGGAGCTATGTTAGAATTAAGGGGGAATTTTTTGTCGGTCATTATAAAAGATTGTAATTTATTGTGAGTCACTGAAAAAGTTCGGCGAACTTCAGTGCCACTGCTTTAACTTTTTTTTACCCTCCATGCCACTGCCATCAGATTGAGCTTTAACATTGTCAAACTTTAGGTGTGAAAAGTCAAAAATATCCTTACGTCTAAATATGTCATTAAATTTTTTTGAGCATCTTAACGACTTCAAATGAAAAAGCTCAAAACTAGAAAGTTGTAGATCTCGTCGAGATCTATAATTTTTATATAAAAATTATCTTCATTTAATTCCAAAAAAATGATATGATTTGATATGATTAATATATCTAGAAAAATCATATCTTTTTGCGGTATTTAATTCCGCAAAAAAATCATATATTTTCGACATTTCACACCTGCAGTTTGACACCGTTAGAGCCCAATCTGACGGTAGTGGCATGAAGGCTAAAAAAAAGTTAGAGCAGTGGCGCTGAAGTCCGCTGAACTTTTTCAGTGGCTCACAGGGAACTACGATATTTTTTAATGGCTCACGAGGAATTCCCTCTAGAATTAAAGGGGATCAATTCTAGTCTTGTAACTAATCACTAGTTATAGGCATAATCTTCTTTCTATATAACACAGTTATACAATTTTAGTGGAGGAGTTTGTAAGCTAAATTAAATATATTAATAGACAAATTAATGCATATGCATTCTGCTATATGTTACCTGATGAGTGTAAGCTGTCGCAAGATAAACTCCCGCTAATTGTCATTTATCCTTCTTAGAACAAGAGAGCTAAATAGACGTACTAAGTAACAGACTAATATAAGTGAAATATTATAATGCAGTTACATGCGAATAGGGGAAACAACAATAATACTCATTTGAAACGGCCAGATGAGCTATACACAAATGCTAATTAAGTTTTGTAACAATGCGTTGAAATATACTCCTAGCATCATCAGGATGGAAGCAACTAGAATAAAAAAGAAGCTAATGCAAGTTTAGTCGTAGCGTAGATAAATGCATGTAGCTAGACCATGCAGCGATGCAGATGTGTGTGCGTAGTTGCAACTCCAGCCCCCGAGCCGGACGCCATTACGGACTCGTCGAAGTACATTGTTCAGTACTCGTAGGTGACGTCCGGGGGCGGTAGCTGCACCTCTGTCCATTTGGCGACAAAATCCGCGAGAGCCTGAAATTTAATGGCGGTACGGGGGATGTACCTCATGTCGTGGCCCATGAGTTCGAGTGCCCACTTAGAGATCCGTCCCGCAGCGTCGCGGTTGCGGATGATGTCCCCGAGCGGGTATGAAGTGACGACCGCGACTTCGTGGTCGGTGAAGTAGTGCAGGAGCTTCCGGGTCACCATCAGCACGGCGTATAGGAGTTTCTGCACCTGGGGGTACCGGACCTTGGGGTCGGTGAGTACTTCCTCGACGAAGTATACGGGTCGCTGGACCTTAAGTTGGTGTCCCGGCTCCTCCCTTTCGACGACCAGCGCGGCGCTCACCACATGGTTGCTGGCGGCGATGTAGAGGATAAGGGGTTCTCCCCGTTCGGGAGCGACGAGGATCGGGGCTGATGTTAGGGACGTTTCGAGGATCTCCAGGGCCTGCTGAGCTTCTTCAGTCCAGACGAAAGTGTCCGTCTTTTTTAGGAGCTTGTAGAGTGGCATCCCCCGTTCGCCGAGCCGAGAGATGAATCGACTTAGGGCAACCAGACAGCCGGTGAGCCTTTGTACGCCCTTGACGTTGCGTATGGGACCCATGTTGGAGATGGCCGTGATTTTTTCGGGGTTGGCCTCGATATCGCGCTCGGACACAATGTATCCTAGCAGCTTCCTCTTTGAAACCCCAAAAACACATTTTTCGGGATTCAGCCTGATGTTGAATCTTCTGAGGTTCGCGAATGTTGCGGCCAAGTTTGCGATCAGGTCGCAGGCTTGAGTTGTTTTGACCACTATGTCATCAACATATACGGCGATCAGGTCGCATTGCTGCATGCACCTTTGGTAGGTGGCACCAGCGTTCTTCAAGCCAAACGGCATGGTTACGTAGCAGTACGAACCATACGGGGTGATGAATGAGGTTGTGAGCTGATCGGACTCTTTCATCGTGATATGGTGATAACCCGAGTAGGCATCCAGAAAGGAGAGGATTTCGCAACCCAAGATGGAGTCGACTATCTGGTCTATGCGCGGCAAAGGGAAGTGATTCTTTGGGCACGCTTTGTTGAGGCTAGTATAATTAACGCACATTCTCCATTTCTCGGTCTTCTTTTTAACAAGAACGGGATTGGCGAGCCAGTCGAAGTGGAATATCTCTCTGATAAATCTGGCTACCAGGAGTTTGGCGATCTCTTCTCCTACGGCCCTGCGCCTTTCATCGTCGAAACGGCGCAGGCGTTGCTTGGTGGGCTTTGAGCCCAAGATGAGGCGCAGTGCGTGCTCGACGACCTCCCGCGGTATGCCTAGCATGTCAGAGGGCTGCCATGCGAAGACATCACGATTGGCGCACAGGAAGTCGACGAGCTCGCATTCCTATTTGGCCGGGAGCTGCGTCCCGATCCGCACCATCTTGGCGGGGTCGGTGGGGTCGACCACAACCTTCTTGGTTTCCTCGAGCAGATGGAAGGCCATCGAGGAGGTTGGTTTGTTGCAGTCTGGGGCTGCCGGGATCGATGATTTCCCGAGCCACGGGAGCTCGGTCGAGTTG